AGAATTCCCCAGCCAGCCATGAAGTCCACTCATCTTAAAGTGGCCAAGTTTGGACAACACCTCCCTACAACAATAACGTGGCATTCCTGTAATCTCTGTACTGCTCTACCTCAAAGGGCTCACAACTCCCTGCAGCCACACGATGCTGTGATTAAGTGCATGGGATTCAGATTAGTTAGCACAGTCAGCCAGTGCGGGGAGATAGAGGCTGTGTCACGTTTCAGGCTGTCAAGCAAGGGAATCGCCCAGTGGATGGGGATGGGCTGACTGTTGCTTCCAGAGCCAAGAGGCAGACAGGATTTAGACTGGCCAGTGGGGAAGATCCAGGGGGATCAAGCAGCCAAGAGAAGAATGAGACGACTCCACAAGACTTCTGCAACAGCAGTTGTGGCTATGAGCATCTTTATTATGAGAGCAGGGAGAGGAGTTTAAGTGGGCACTCTGCTTTTGAAATGTACTGCTCAGGAGAGCGTTCAGTCTATTGAGGGAAGATGAACTGCTATTTCTGGGCAAGCCTCTCATTCCCACTGAACTCAGTAACTGCTGTTTCAAGTCATCCTCGTCCCTGTGTAATACTGCCTAAATAGCTATATGGCTATTGTTTTGTTAATGCAAGTAGTAAATTTGTCTTCTGTTCATAACTTAGAGGTTTATATTTTTCTTATGGGTGTCTCAGGAGGGAAGGAAGAAATCACCCTTTACAGCCCTCCTGCTGACTAGAAGAGTAGACAGCAGATTTGTTTAAAGTGAACTGGACAGAAACTGATCCTGCTGAGAGATCTCCTGGGGAATCAGATTCTTAAACTCAGAACCAGCTACTGTGCCAAAACAGGAATACAGCAGTAAAGTGGATTATCTCAGAAGATAATTACCCTGTTCAATTAAAAATACAAGATCATCATCCAGTTCTGTCTATTGTAAAGATAGAAGTATAGAAAATAACACTTCCTCACAAACAAATTCTACTCTGGTAGAATTTCAGGAGCTAAATAATATGAATAGGCCTAACAATAATAAGAAGTGCCAGTATTATAAAATAGTGTTTGCTAATGACAAAGAGAATTAAGTTACAAGGTACAGTAACTGAAGATATCTGACAACATCTTTCAAATAAAATACCTGAATAAAAGAGATGAGGGTAGAAGTGCATCTGCAATTTAACAACCACAGATAAGTATTTGGAGTAAATAAACACAGAACAAGTTTAATGAGATCAATGCCACATTCAGATAGTGTTGTTCCTGCTGCCCTAGTTTATAGAGCATATGTATTAAACCCATTTGTCCAACCTGTGAAGGCTAATTTGAATGTTATTTCTGTTTTCTAGGGCTTTTGCTATCACACCCAATTTTACATCATTGCAAATATGATGAACAGAGGGACCCAAATTCACCTTGTCAGATTGTACTGTTTCCCCAGGACAGCCTCAGGGTCCTGTTGACGGATTGCTCTAATTGCAGTTGGTGCAGTAAAAAGGGCAGCTACTCCATATTCTGCCAGCACACGGAAATAAGCACCTGCATCTGGAGTTCCTACAGGTTTTCCCTATAAAGAGATTTGTTTTAAAAATGTAATTGCGTAAAAAAATATTCCACAATTCTTTCACAGTTTAAGGGCTCATTTCGACAATGACATCAACTTGTCAGCAGAATGCTGAAGCAATGACTAAAATGCGTGCAAACATGAGGAAATTATTCATATGTTCCAACATTAGTGTCTCAGAGCTGTCTGGTGATGCACTGAATAAATTACTGAGGTACAAGAGGAACTTAACATGTCTTGCATGTACTGCATCAAATTGTTACTAGGTAATTATTAATACATTGCATATGCATCTCAGCATGTACAAAAACAAGCAGACCTTGTCTGGACTTGGAGTAGAGTCAAGTCTGGTTACCACTGGGGATGTGAGACTACTTGAGAATCCCAGGATTATAGGCTAAACTAAACCCCTTCCAAATTATTATCAAGAAAACTCCATGGACGTATCCATGAAAATTATCAAAACTGAGCTCAACTCAGAGACCTCACTTATTCCATCTCCATCTCTCTCTCTCTCTCTCTCTCTCATTCAAAGTGGTGATTTGGGTTTTGGTTGTTTTATGTTCACAACAATCCTCTAATGTTGATGAACATGTCAGGTATGGGCAGACTTTTAGTCAATGGAGACTGGACATTTTTTTGTTAAAGTGAGGACCATGGTGGATGGGATGATGCAAAGTGAGTGAGGCCCCATTTCACACCTGTGGCACACCTGAGTTGGGGGGAGGGGACTTTTTCTATGAGTGAATTTTTTGTTCCTTTTAACTATACAAAACTTTTTCAGGGCCTAGTTTGACTTTGGGAGTATTTTCTGTCTCAAAACTAACCTTTTAAAACCCTGAACAACTTAGTGCTAGTATATTTCAAGAAAAGTCACTGTCTTATTAACCTGCCTGGGCCTTGCAGGCATCTTTGGTGAGATTCCTCCCAATTGGCTATAGGCAGAGGGCCTTTAAGGTTGTGAGGCCCACTGATGGAATATCCTACTGGGGAGGCATGCCTGATACCCACAACATCCCACATACTTCCAGAGTTTCTCTATAGTTTTAGTCCAACCTTCTAATTAACAAAAGCTGTAAGATGTAGAAGAACAAACTGTGCATTCAAGCCACCCTAATTTTGTCAATGTTACTAGTGATAGTAACCCTACAAGATTGGTCATTTGCTGATACAGCTTGCTAGCCAGTCTGAACTCATGATGGAAACAGAATAGAGATTATTTTTATATGTTTAAAAAACAATATCTGAAACTGCAGTATGAAATTGGTTTGTTCTCACTACTTAGAAGTTTAAACCAAACATAGTTCTCCAGAGAAATCAGAGGAAATCAGAGAAATCAGAGGAAAAGGCTTCCAATCTTCTCCTCTAGTATTTAGAGAAGTGGAAAGAGAAACATGCAAACTCCAGGCTCATTGTAGCTTGCTCACATAGTGGGAAACTATGATTTTCCTAGGCTAACATAAGCTGCAAAACAAATGAGAAGGCTCTCCAAATTCTGTTTCTCCAAGATAGAGCCTTCCTAACCACTTAACAACCAGCCATTCCTTGTGCAACTACTCAAAAGTAGAATTAGTACTCGAAAGTAGTAATAGTGAACATATGTTAATTAATAGAAGAGTTGTATGTGTCTGTTTAGGTTGACTACTTTGCTGAACAGCAACTCAAATGTATTAAATAATGAACATTTTAAAAAATAATCACCTCGTATAAAACTGTTGTATTCCCATGCAGAAGAGGTCCATAGCAAATGTAAGAATGACCAACCACCCAGCCTAAATCAGATGCAGCCCACCAGACCTAAAATGAGATATAAAATGTATTAAAATGCAGGCACTGATTTTCTTAATTGAAACATATTATATAAATTGAAATTACCTCTTTAGACTTAAGACCATATATAGCTGACATGGTCCAGTTTAGCATAACTGCATAGCCACCTGTTGGTCTGACAACACCCTAAGTGAAAGAAATTTGAAATTTAAATAATTCATAAAATCATATACAAATAATTTCTTGCAGGAAATTAATATTGCTTTCCTTAATTTTTAGGAGTCTTTCAGAATTTCAAGCATAAGTTATAAGATGCATAAATATGTTCTTTATTCAGAATCTAGTGTTACATATATCCTATCATGGCAAGAGAAAAATTGTGATTCTGCAATTCAGCTAATCCAATACATTTATTTAAAGCATGGTGAACATTCTGCAGTCCTCCAGACACTCCTAAACTTCAACAAGGTCATAATAGATGGACTTATAGTTCAACAACATGTGGAAGGGCACAGGGTTTCCATCACTTTTTTAGAGCATGAATAGATATAAGAACTTTCAGGTAACTGATAGAAAACAAGCTGTTCTTAGTCTAGCTACTACAAAATACAGTTAGAATTTCAGAGATGGGTAGCTTCCATCTTCTAATCCACATCATCTTTCTGTAAAAACAGTACAGGCTGGAAAACCCACACATTTGAATTGGCATAGTCACCATTTCTGATATTTTATAGATTAAAAAATCTTTTGGAGGGACATTTTCTGATCCAATTGATTGTTCAGTTCAATGTGCATGAGAGGCAGAAAAGGGATGCAGCTCAGTGCAATGAGACAGATGCTGCTTCCACTCAAATGGCCCCTTCTAACTTCAAAGAGGCCACACCAACGCAACCTAACTAGCTTGGCCATTGCTGGCTTAGCAGCTCCTCCCAGATCCAGAGAAACTGCTACAATGGCTTAATAAGCCTGACCAAACCCAGAACAACACTGGAGAAGACCAGGTCAGTCTTGCTTAAGCACAGGCTGGACTCTGGCTTGAAGAAGCTGGCCTTCCCTGCCCTGGAGCAGCACATCCCACCACCTGGTTCCTTCCCTCCCCCAAGAATTTAGAATAGCATGGACAACCTGGCCTGGCAACATCCAGCTACCCTTACAAATCCTCACGGTCAACTGGCAAAGCTGCAGCTGAGTGGCCTGACTGGCCCTGCTCCATCACAAATGTGGGTCTGCAGCTGGCTAGCTTGACCACATCCAGCTTCTTAAGGGATCTGTGTCTATAACTGCTCCACTAGCCGCACCTTAGCCCTTAGCACAATGGGATGGGTTAGCTGAGGGGAAAGTGTAGATGAGCAGAAGAGGACACCCCTCCCAAAAAGGCAGTAATGTTGATGAAGGGGGGTGATGCTGGAACAGGATGAGCAACAAAGAAATCTATCAAGGTAGATCTCAACAACAGCTGGAATAAAAGCTATAGTAAACAGCCTGAGCCAGAAAAAGAGAAAAGGGAAAACACCCCCAAATCTTGAAAAAGCCCTAGCCTGATAAAAGTTTGAAAAACTCAGCCTATTTCTATTTGTCTCCTATCATTCCCCAAACAACCCACTTACATCAAGACTGAATATACCACAGTGACACATGGATTTTAGAGGTCACCTGGTGCCTGCCTACATCTTTTTAGGCAACTAGAAAATATCTTTGTAAAAACTGTCTATGCTTTTAATATTTATTTATGATTCATAAGCATTCTCCATCCTTAGACTCTTAGCCTTTCCTTTCTTCATTCTCATCTCTGTTATGGAAGGTGGCTATGTTGCTACAATCACTCCTTTTGCTTCTTATGGGAGTCCTTTGTCTTTTCTTGCTGCTTCTTCACACACAGTAATATTCCATTGATTTTGACCGTATGTCACCAATATACACAAGCTCAGGCCCTTGATCTTATCCCTGACTCCATACAAGAAGCAAAGTTGTGCCATATCAGTTAGAGGGATGAACAGAATTTGAATATCAAAAACCCCATTAAAAAACTAGGAAAAAACTAGGGGGGAAAAAAACCCTAGAATCTCCAAGGTTTATTTTCCAAGGTGCAACCATAGGACAGGAGAAGTTCAGTTATGGAGAAAGAGCTTTCAAGCATCTCACGTATTTTATTTTCAAAAATTAAAAAGTAACATTTAATAATGAAAAGCAATTACAGCCAACTCCAGTCACACATGCCTTTTATGAGCACCAACCTGAAAAGATATTTTTAATTAAATTAACTGTAATTAAATACTCCCTGATGCGGAGTAGAACTTAACACCTACCTTGGGTGTCCCAGTAGTTCCTGATGTATAAAGAATATAAAGTGGATGGTCTGAAAGAACAGGAATACAGTCACATGGCTTTGCTTTGGCCAATTCTTCATCCCAGTCCAAATCACGTCCTGGTTTAAGAGGAACAGCTCCCTGTGTACAAGGAACTAACATTACATCTTGTAAAATTGCATTTAAGTATACATACACACAGAAAAGAATAAAAAAATAGTAAATAGAAAAAAATTCTTTATGCAAGAATTTTAGTAGATATACTAGCATATATAAATGTGTATATTTCAAGGATGCAAACAGCAGGGGATTCACACAAAGATCATGAAATGCCACAATCTAATGAAGTTAGAGATTACAATTAAGATATTTAGGGAAATACAATTTAAAAGAATAGAGCAATAATGCATATAAAATTATTTGCTGTAACTACCATATTAGGTCGGCTATAAATTAGAACTCTTTCTGGTTGGTGATTGATCATCTCCAATGCTTTTTCTAGAAGTGGCACATATTCCACTTTTCTTCCAGGTTCTATTCCAAATGTGGATGTTACAATCAGTTTTGGCTAAAAAAAAAAGAGAAAGGTTTTAAATTAATATAATTTAAATATATCCATTAATTAATTAATTATACACACACACACACATATATAAATTAGCATGGATGATTGGACTTTCCCATATGTTAGTTCAAAATTAAGATTCTGAATCCACAACCTCACTTTCAATCCATATGTAGAAACATAAGCATATCATATACTCAAGTTGAATTAAGCACAAAGATCATACCTCCTTCTCCACAGGATAAGAATCCACTCATCGAAGAAGCCCCGGGTCTTTCCCCCACAATTACACGCAGAAAATACATGCATAAACACATACTTGTTTAAAGAGAAAAAAGATATACATGTATTTGCAGCAAGACAAAAGAATAACTTGTATTCATCCATATGATTACAAGTTGTTTTAAATCTTGGATTCACTGCCTTGTGGCATAAATATGTTATTAAATTTAATTTAAAAACTCCTTTTATTTTTTCCCCCAATATTTAGTGCAACCCTACACACTAAAAAACTAAACATGATCCTTAGCCTGAAGAAAGGTCTGAACTCAGTATTTATCGTTTGCCTAACCTAGCAGTATTTTGCCCATTACCTCAAATACAAATTTAGATTTTTCAAACTGTAACCATTACTAGTAATGCCGTATAAATCCCAGTTTTAAAGCTTCCTTATCAGATATACACTGTAATGTAAAAGTTCACTAACCCATTGAGTCTTTCCTCAAGTTAGTGCAAAAGGTCCTTCAGTCTAAAGACCAACTTAGCCTGTACAAATGGCAAAGTTCACAAGAGAAGTAACTGCTATTACAGTGAACAGGGTGTATGCATACATGTTGCCCGAGTGTATAAAATCTGGGCAAGTGCATATTTGTTGTACCCCTGTGTTTCTCCTTTCCCCTCAGACTGCAACTGTGTCTGTTTACATGTCTGCAGGAGAAGTACAACGTGGGCTACATATACTCCACTTTGGGTCATGTGATAAGGAAGGGGGGCGTAGAATGGAACAGTCAGCAACATTCCAAGACTCTGCCCAGCTGCCTGTCATATAGAGATGCATTAGAGAGATGGGGGGTGGGCAATGTTTTCCTCCACAGCTCCTGGCCAAATCTGGCCCATCTTCCTTTTGCTGGCTTCTCCCCCACATAACATTTTATCTTATTCTGTTTTGGTTTTGGAAAGTTATCCTGTTGATGGACAGATGGGCAGACAGAAAGAGTCCTGAGCCCTTTTACATCCTTTCTTTCCAACATTTCACTGAAAGAATAAAAAGAGACTACAAGGACAGTATGAAGAAAATGATACAACCGAGTTTACTTTTATTCTGCAGCTAACACCCAAACTAATTATCCCCTCCAGAATCTAAAAGAAACTTCATTCTCTTTTACTCCTACCTTTAAACTATACCTTCTGAATACTGTTAGTTTAGAGAAAAACAAGAATTAGCCACAACATAATCATCTGCAAAGTAGGTAAGGAGCAGTTGGAATTCTTTCTTTTTAACACTGTAATTGCTGAATATTACCTGTAAAAAGAGAGAAGAAACAAATCATCATCTATGGCATCTGATCATGACATCCAAATACATTCTAGTGAACGCATGAAGGAACTACTATTAATACATTTTTTGCTAGAAGTTCAAAGGAAATCTTATTAATAACAAGAGCATTATTGATCAGACCCCTGTAATTCATTGCTACCTATAACTGTAAAAAAAATTAACCAATGTGATGACAAAAACAACCAAAATAATCAGTTAGCATCAGTCTAAAGCCAGGATTAATCATCATGGTATGTACATGTGCCAAAGTATCTGCAGATAGATCCCTTAGCATCTACCAGGCTTCCTGCCCCAAGTGACTTCTTCAGAATAGCTTTGCATGAAGAATAAACGAAAGCTGGAGGTGGTAGGGAATATTCTGGTGCCAAAGAGAATGATAGAGAGCATTCTTCCAATAAATGCGTGCTTTATGGTTTACTACAGCTGCCATAATAACCATTTAGTGTGCCTTCCCACAGCATACACATATATAGATACATCAACAATGTAAAACAAATCAGCTCTGATCTTCTTGCACAACTAAACTGGGAGAGGGCTGTGCAGGAAAAGTAGATGTTCAAAGCATTTATCTTAAGACTGTCATTTCCTCTCAGAATATGAGACATGTTTATTACCTTGGCATGATCAATGCGACTAGAAAGCTCTTTGGAAGCAAATCCACCAAAAATAAGACTATGTATAGCTCCTATTCTTGCACATGCCAACATAGTGTACATTGTCTGTGGTATCATTGGCATGTAGATGACAACACAGTCTCCTTTCTTCACACCATGACTCACCATAACACCAGCTAGCTTGGAAACCTGGAAAAGTAGCAATTTAAAGTTATTGGTATGAAATTAAAGTAAATGGTATGAAGTATTGTTTTGACTTTATTAAAAGAACCCATATGTTAAAAAGGTAGTTCCATGCAGGTGTGCACAGCATGTATGTATGCATATATGTAGGGCCACAGAACAAGTCTCGCTTTTATACAAAATTATGTAGTAAAAGCCAGTAAAACTTTTCATGAGCTTTCCATAATATATACGGCATTTCCCCCATTTCACATCAGTTTTCACCTCCCCCCAAAAACCCCACCCTAGCTGAAAACTGAAAAACAAAATGTTTAAATAATTTGTATAGAAAAAGGACAGAATGAAAATAAATGTACATACTTCACCAAAATCTGATGCAAAGTATGTATTTAAAAAAAAATTAAAGAGGAGAGTCTAAGGTTATTTAATACTTAAACAAAGTCAGATCAGATTTTTTTTTAAATTTCATTCCGTATTTAGTATGCATTCTTGGTAACTTTAGAAATAATTGTAATAAGCTTGTATCTTTACACATTCATTCTCACATTCTTGTATATATCCAGTTGAAGTAATAGTGCTAAGGTATTATTACAGATATTTTACATATTTTATTAGTATTATTATATGATGTTTAGATTAAAATTAGATTGTGTTTAAATGCTAGTAACAACTTGTATTTTGTGAGTAATTCCATAACTTTTTATGCTGGTTGAAGACTAAAATAAAAATAAAAATAAATCCAGGTGTAATTACTTATGCACCTATTTCTTGATGCAGATCCATTTACCTCTTTTAAAATGCATTTCTGATATCTCTACCCTTACAATACTAACATTAAAACTGCCATTGTGATTTTATACTGCAAAAAAATATTATTTGAAAAAAATTCACATAAACATAGAACTTCACATTACAATGGCTACATAGAAAATACAGTATCTGGCTATATTCTCAGTTTGCATCACTTACAAATAAAACTGAATGAGCATCAATACAAATTACAGAATTTGCATCTCATGATTTGACATGTTAATATGTAAGCTTTTGTGGAGAGCTTTTGGGGAACAACAAATAAAAACAAACAAACAACATATAAAAATATTTACAGTACAGTAGGCCGAACGGTATTTCAATTCATCGGTCCTTTGAAATAGTCCCTTGTCTTTGTGTTGTAGGCAATCTATCTGCATTTTAATATATATTTAATTTAATATATATTTCTCAGCATGTTTTCATTTAGACGTACATCCTCAGAATTCTCTTGACCTATCAAAGTTTTACAGCAAGGATATAAGAAATATGTCCACTAATTTTTCTTCTGTGGCCCCCAACCACCAGAATCCTAGTGGGTTACAACAAACATTTTGACTTTTTGTCCAGTTTTGGAAGTTGGAGAATTTAATGGGGAAAATGGATACCTAAAGCTTTGCAGATACTATTTCACCCTGTACAATTGCTGAAACCTCTCCCAAAATGGACCCTAGCCCTGGCCCTGCCCAATTCTGGAGTACAAACCTCACCATTTTGAATAAAACCCTCGAGCTATCTGATGTTTTACCTTGTAGGCAGAAGAGATTGTTACAATTTTTGCTGTCTTTTTTGAGACTTTTTTACCTATTTATCATAACTTTGAGGTGCTTCCTATTTTCTATTAAGCCTGATTCTTCCATGGGACCTTTAGCACATTTTCTTCTTGTAGCTTTCATGTAGGCAATGCCTGTGAAGTAGGTTTTCTTTTGGTTTCTTTCCTTATGAATTCCAGCCAAAATAGCTTCTTTCACAGAGTTAGCCTGTCACCAATGCAGTTTGGAAGATGGAGTGAAGGAGGAGAATGGAGTTTATTTCCCAGTTCCTTATTTGGACTGCCTGTTCTAAACTGAAAGAAGCCCACAGAAGTTAACACCCCATTCTTCTTTCCGTTCAGCTAGATGGTATTACTCTCCCTCTATGAAATCAAGCCACCGGCTCACCATGACTTACACAATAGAGAGGCTTATTTTTCTTCCCCTCTGAAGGTATTACATTCTAACTAATACATATTGCATGAGCAAGGGAAGAAAGAAGAAAAAACAAGCTCTTTGAGAAGTGAAGCGGTAAGCATAAAGCTCACCTAATTCCTTAGCTGGAGGATGAGCCTATTTCTTTTATTGAGAAGATGCAGTAAAACATTTACTCTGACTACTGACTTGAGGAAAAGGCATAATCGCAATGAGCAGGCACATCACAATGCCTCCTAGGCATCCTGGGAAAAATAAATTTGAATAAATGGTTTACCTATGCTAGAGTACTGAAGTGGACAAGGCAATTTACAGGACAGAGAGTGAACATCCAAAGTGGAGAAACCACCAAATTAACCAAATTCCACTGCATTTGTAGAATGGGAAGGAACATAGGGGCCCTTTTTAACTTTTTTTCAGATGTTTTTGATTTTTTTTTCTTTTACATTAGGAAAATCAGCAATGAATCTATATAATCTCCAAAAGACATAGAACCAGAACACAAGGTTTCCATCTCATGTAGACTGAGAACCTTGAATTAAAAATGCACTACTGTATAGACTTGCCCAATCAACCCAGGAAAGTTAAAGATACAGTGCATGTTCCTATCTCCCCTCTACAGGTTCTTTAATTTTTCTTCAGAAATTTGGCAAAAGAAATTCCACTGAGTTTATTGGATTATGAAAAGTGCACTCAGCTTAATATACCTAAGGGTTAAACTACTCAATGCATAAAATGTGTAAGGCACAGCTACCTTCCAGATTTTATTTTTTGCTAGTGTAAAGCATGATGGCTTGATCCAGTATGGGATTATCTCGTGCAGGGAAAAATCTTCCTGCCAGATTTATTTACGCATATCTTACTTCCATATACAGAACCAAGTGCTTTTTTAAAAAATAGTATCCATTGGAAACAATTGAATCTTTTAAACAGAGTGGTAGATGTTGTTTAAGGTTTGATTTTTTTAATAAACAAAGGTATTCAAAGGTATTGATCTGTTCATTTCATAGATACGTCCATGTAATTTTCTGGGAAACAATATAGAAGTGGTTTATCATTGTCATCTTCTAGGATACTGTATTTCCACCAGTCTAATGCACTGGAATTTTTTGGTCTTCCATCCAGATACTAAACAGGCTTGTCCCTGCTTACCTGTTCAAGATCAGCTAAAACTGGCTAAACTCTGCTATGTACCTGGGTTGAAAAATATATCACTCAAATAAGGTATTTTATAATATATAATGTTGGTCAATAATTCAGTGCAACCAGACAAAATAGGAATAAATTGTCTAATGTCGATAGGGTTTAAATCTTTGTATCTGTATATCAGTAAGCTAATGGCATCTAAAGCAGCATAACAAAGAAAACATTTTAAATATTAATAAATACACATTAAGGAAAGCCATCAAAATATCCATTACGTGTACCTTTTACTTGGTGCCCCATGGACAAAATGTTGGCTTGGAAGATGGTCTCTAGCTTAGAAATTCTATCTTGCAAATGTGTCAGGCAAACTGGGGCTCACACCAATACGCTGCACATTATCATGTATTTCATTCAAAAATGGAAAAATGGAGACTAGTTGGAAATTATGCAACATAGCAGAGCAAAAAGACTTTTAAAAGAAAGTTCTTACAAACCCTCTTTTAGGAACAAAAGAATCACAATTTATTGCAAAGAGACTTTTCTTACTATTCTTAGCCAGGTCCTCCTCTCATCCTGAAGGGCAAGCATTAATTATATTTGGTAACCGTCACTTTTCTTATGAATATCCCCACATTCTTGAGCTGCATAAATGGGCCAGATCAGCGGACTCATTCAGAATCAGGTCATGGGTGTTGCTGATTTCTTATTTACTAACATGGCATTTACTGTACCAGCAGTGACTTCAACATGAGTTACCTGAACTGGGAGAAGATCTGGAAGCAATCAACAACTCTAGTGGATTTAGATCTAAACCTGGTTGTTTATACAAAACTATTTCTATGGTTTTCCAGATCTGGCCTACAGTCAATCTATAGTCAACCTTCACTGAAACAATAACCTATATAAATAGAACTAAAGACAGATGTAGTCTGAAAACATCTTTAAAGCTGTTCATAAAATAGATGAAGAAGCTTTCATCTACACCAGACACAGAAGTATTCAAAGAAACAAGAACACAGCTTTGTAGTTCGATCATCTGCACTCATACAGCTCTTCTGTTATACAAACATTAAACTTAGAGTCAGCTCAATATTCAGTACAAATTAATTATACACCCTCTTATTCTATGTTAAAAATCTATAATTAAAGACAATCTTGTAATGCCTTTCAATTGTTAACCTGCTGCACAGTCATGTTACTTGTAATTAAACTGAAAAGATTGAAAATAGCAAATGGCCACAGCAGGGGGCAGCATCTCTCTGACCTCAGCTAATCTCAGAAAGCTAAGTAAGGTCAGACATGGAGGACACTTGTACAGAAGGCCCCCAGGAATGTTCAGGGATGCAAATTAAACTGGGAAAACCACATTTACTGTTGTTAAGAAAGCAACATGGATGTATCTGCACAGTCATCAGGAGTCAAGCTCAGCTCAAGGGAGATTTTATGAGAAAACACACAAGAGAGGAGACTCACTGGTAGAAGAAGGTCAATAACAACACAGAGCAATCATATCTGTATCAAATGAACTATAACAGAGTTCATGTACTTGCAATTATCTGTTTTCTATACTTCAAATGTTGTAAACATGATAGGACATTTTTTATCATTTTTACTTTGTCATTTAGTTTGCTAAAAATATATATTAAACACACCTGTTCAAGAACTTCCTTATACGTTATAAACTCTTTCATATTTGTTACAGGACTGTCATGGATAATAGCAATTTGATCCCCTTGTCCATTTTCAATATGGCGATCTATAGCATTATAACAAATATTCAGCTCTCCCTCAACAAACCTAAAAAAAGGAAAAAATGGATTAGAAAATTAGGCTTAAATATCAATATGTAGTGGATATTAATGATAATGTTCTGTTAAAGTAGGGTTTTTTAACCAGAATGAGATTCCAGAATACATGAGGAATGGTAAAGCTGACTTCATCTGCTCTCTTGTCTCTATAGTATACTTAATATATATCTCAAAGCACAGATCTTGACCCTACGTACACAAATCTATGAAAACTCATAAACTGATTTCTACTTTCACAATGAGGTGATAGAGGGAAGAAATCCTTCAAAAGGTGAACCTATGTGGAGCTCTGTTAGTTATGAAACGTGAAATATGGTAATTCTTCAAAACCGTGCTAAAAATTTGTATTTCTTTCCTGATTTTTTCCCATGAGTTGTAATATCGTTTACAAGTATATGCTACTGACATATCTAATTACAATTCCTATGCAGAAATGTGTAAATTTTTCTAAAGCACAAACAGAAAATGTTGACACAGATTTTGAGTAATTATTTGATTTTGAGTTTCACAGCTGATTTTGGAGGTATTAACCTGGAATCCTGACTGGACACATCGAAACATGGTAACAGGTGACTGAGAAATCTATACTTTGTGGCACAGAACTTAGGCACATAATGGTTTTTAGTTATCCAGTATGACCTCTATTTGTGAATTATGGCACTAAACTCAGAACATTTAGCCCTGCTCTTGAAGAAACAACAAATTTCAAGATCCATAATTAACTCCTGTGTGCATAGTCTTAATTTGTTATTGGCTGAAGAGGGATTTAATTCTGGGTTTTCTCAATCAGGATCCTTTATCCTAAATAACTTAAGTTGTGGAAAAAGTAAAACCTGAAGGAAAAAGGAACAGCAGATCCTTTAGATATTTTTACTTAACATTCAAGTACGATTCATATTCATTACAAAGTTACAAAAAGCTGGGGAAAAGAGAAGAATATAGTGACCTTCAAAAAACACAGTAATGATAAAACTTCATGCAGAAAGGCTTGTGTAGCTCAAAATACAATGGATAAGATACTTTCACCAATTGAGATATTCCTTTGTTTGGTATAGTAAATTAAAAATGAAAACCTCTTTATTTTTGTGGCCAAATTATGTAGCACCTGGACCAAAAGCTGAATCAAGATATTTGTACAAGAAAACTTGCAAAGCAAAGCAGTGCCGTTAGCTTGAATCAATGGTAAATGAAAAACAACAACTTCACAAACTCTGTTTCATGGGTCTTTGGGGAGGGGGAGGTGTTGCTTAAATATTTCCTTAAAATATTCACATCCTTATCTTCCTCAGAAGAGCTGAATGCTGCAAAACAAGAATTAACAACATAAAACATCACTTTTAAGTTAAAACTGAAATGGCACCAAGTACCGCACAATGCAACAGCAATGAAACTTTAAAAAATCAACTCAACTAAAATCAACTTAGTAAAACTACCATTTACTATCCAAATTATTTCCTATACATAAGGGGGTTAACTAGTTCACGATACACTGTGCAAGACAGGGTGGATGGGCCAAATCTCAGGAGATCCCAATTCCTGCCCACTGCTTTAACAGCCCTTAGATACACTGAAAGTCTGTGGAGGGGGAGAAGGGAGGCAAATAATGCCACTTTCATCACGAGATCATCATGCAACTGATATGAAGCATGTAATCTACATCAGTCCATGTCATCTGGGCAATGATGTTATGACATAGATGACATCATCATGGTGTGACAGCTATATGTGCTTCAGGTCTGCTTCTACTTTGTAGTAACTTTTACCTGTGGCAAAGCTTGTCTTTCACAATACTTGTCCTCTGGAACACCATACCACCCAAGATTAAGTATCCCCAATCCTGCTGGCCTTTCAGAAAGCCGTTGAGACCTTGCTATTTTCTCAAGCATGGGGCAGGAAGTTAGTTGAGCCCAGGTGAATTAGTTGCTGATTTCCTTAGCTGCCATAGTATGCTTCCCATTGTCTTTGGATATTGTTTTTATTTTGTGGGTTGTATGTTTTTAAAAATGTACTAGCTGCCCAAAGTTGTGTTTGCAAGATGGTTTACCTTCTAAATTGATTAAATAAATCAATAATAAATAAAAATATCTTTTACTGTGTACTGTTTTGAGCCTTTGTCATCTCTGTTCCTAGCCTCCATGCATCCTGGAATCTATTTTCAGTCTCACCCTGAGAAGCTAATTATTCCCTCCCTCATGGAATCAGGATTGCACAGACAAGTCCACTGAGCAAGTGACTATTTTGTACTCACTCCATCTCAGCCAATTAACACTTCAGTACATAAATGTAATATAAGCTTCTTCATGAATTATATAAATTACTTAGATCAACACATAAGGAGGCAAGGTCAATGTAAGTCTTACTTCCCACTCTTACACGTGAAAGACAGCCTGGTCCCACCCCTTTTATTTCTGCACATACATACATAATGGGAATATTGGTCAGGAAGGTTTTAGCCTAACAGGAAAGATTTATGTGGAGAGACACGCTAAAATTAGGAGTACAACTTCTGTACTTGTAAGAAAGTATTTCTGAGACTGTATTTGGATGAAAGGAAATAAAGGTAAGCTTTATTTAAGAAACAACATCATGATGGGAAAGCCTGAATTACTTACCTACAGCTAGGCACCTGTGGCACGTGCTCCTCTGTTACAGAGAGAGAACAAGTAAGAACCTGAACAACACCAGTCAGACTGAGAAAAAAAAGAGAGCTTAACTAGAGGAGAAAAAAGAGATGAGAGGCAGGAGAGTCCCAATCTCACCAATAAGAGTCATGTTAGTGTTTTAGACTAAGAAAGCAAATATTTTAGACAAAGAAAGAATCCCTCTACTAACTATCTCTACATTATAACCTCTGTAATCAATAGGTTTATAACTTCAAAAAGCCAATGTATGACAAGTTATATTTCAACAAGTGATTCATGTATGGAAGCTATAAAGTGTACACTGGATTCATATAATACACTACACTTATATGGACTGGTTTATGGCTATGTGTGCTGTGCAAACTTAGCCAACTGCTATTTATTTATTTATAACATTAGTATACCACTTCCAATTTTAAAAGTCTCAATGCAATTTACAAAAAAAATCAAACAAAACAGTAGATGAAAGTAATCAATAAAACATGCATTAAAACTTTATATAAAGTATACACAAACAATGAAATAATCATAAAACAGTGATTCTCCAAGTGTGGTCTACAGACCATTGGTGATCCATGGTGGTCCACCAGGTGATCTGCTACAGCTTCACACATTCAACAGTCCCACCGAATTCATTGTCTCAGCACCAACTCCAGATGAGTGCTGCTACAAATGGGAAAGCAGAGCTGAAGGCTATGTGGGTCTCTGGCCAGTGAACTGCTAGTGCATCTCTAATAGTCTGCTGACCAGAGCCTGCTTGCTCTCTCAGCCCCCACTCAGTGATAGATACTTAATTCTGAATTACATTTTTGGTACAGAGGTTAGTTTAAAAGGGCCTTTAAAACTGATGAGATGGGAAGGAATACAAATGCAACTCTAATCATTTATTTTATTCACCAAAAACGTGAATTCTCGTGCTCCTAAAGACAAAATGTCACATCACTTAGTTATTACTGAGTAGTCACTCAGTAATCACTCAGTTTATTTGCCAAAAAGGTGAACTCCCTTGCTGTTAAAGAAAAGAAACGTAAGGAGGATTTGTTGGGTTGTCCTTGCATTTTCCAAACTTGTATTTTGTGGTCCAAAATTGCAGAAACATTAAGAAATCCTGACATAAAAAAATAAAAGCAGCAGTAAGAACTTAAAAATATCAGAACAGCATTATACATAATTACAAGGCCTCCAAAAATATATATTGCTTTTCCTGGCCTAGAAAAGACAGTGCAAGATGTACTTCACTGGTGACAGCATTCCAACGTCAGGAGGCTAACACTGAAAAGTCTGCTCTTGAGTAATCACTCAGTTAATTAATAGATTAACTGAGTAATCACTCACTGCATACACCATGGGAGGATACCCTGAACATGCCCTCAAAGATGACTTTAAGGTACAAGCAGGAACATATGAAAAGAGGAAGTCCTTCAGAAATTGTATTCCCATACTGTGGAGGACTTTACAATCAATATCAGCACTCTGAATTGGGACTGGAAATAAACTGGGGATCAGTGAAAATAATAATGAACTGATATCATATGTTCATATTGCCTTCTTGCAATCAGTATTTTTGTACAAACTGATGTTTCTGAACCATTTTTGATGAAGTTCCATGTATACTATGTTGCAGCAGTTTGAAAAAGAAATTACCAGGGCAAGGTTTACCACAGCAAGGTTATCTCTATCCAAATAAGATCATAGTTGATACACCAGCTTATGTTGGTTAAAGGTGCTTCTTGCCAAAGAGGCCGCTTAGTTCATTAGTTCAACCAGTAGAATTGGTTCAGCAATTCTATTGCCTCATCTAAATTCAAGGTAAAAGAAAGATCAATCTGGGTGTCATCAGCATACTAAGAACACTTTAAATCATGGAATGATCTCACTCAGTAGTTTCATGTGACTGTTGAACAGAATGAGAGATAAAACAGAACCTTGCAGAAGTCCACAACATAAATGTCATGCAGTTGAACAGAAATATTGCAGTACTACCTATTGGAGATGTTCCTACAGGCACAATTGAAATTCATTCATTCATTCATTCATTCATTCATTCATTCATTCATTCATCATATTTATATAGCCCCCCATCTCACAAAATGTGACTCTGGGCAGCACACAGTAAAAAAATTAAAAAACAATAATATAAAAAAATCAACAATTAAAAAATGAATATTACAATTTAAAAAAAAAAGGCAAGGAGAGAGCAACAGATATTAACAACACTGGAGCCACCTCAACAACTCACCATTCCCGTGGGGCCCCCAAGCCTGATGACACAGCCAAGTCTTAAAGGATTTGTGAAAAGTTAACAGGGATGGAGCCAGCCTGATCTCTTATTACACCCCTCAATGTA